ACGTGTGTTGTAGAAAGTGTGGTTACGGAACGCGCGCGCGGTTATTACCTCGCCGGGTTGATATAATAACAAAACCGTATTTTTTTTTTTTTGCTATTATAGGCAATTGTAATAACGTACGAGTATTATGCGTCGTATTAGTATTAATCTATTATTGCGTCGCCGCGACTGTTATTATTGCGATTAACGTGCGAGATTAGGACACAGTCGCAGGTGCAATAACAATAATAATTTTGTGCGGGTACGTATTATACGCGTTCGTTGCGACGAAAACGGCCGGACCCGAGGCTGTGCGATAACACTTCGCGGCGTGATGGCGGAGAACGGAGAACGGAAACGGAATCGCACGCGGCGTTATCGAATAATTCCGGCCTAAGGTACGCGGGAAAACGAACGCGAGAGCGACGGGATTCGCGGGCGTGCTCCGTTGTGCCCGAAACCGCACCGTCGTGCCGTTGCCGGCAGGACCAGTGGCATATTTAGGATTCGGCCCATGTCGAACTGAGAAACATTGTTCGAATAGGTTTCGATTTTAACAAAGATACGTACACCTTTAGACGTTCAGATATTTCTAATGCGCGAACTTGGTACGTTCTTTATTCCCCGAGTAAAAAGTAAAAACAAAAAAAAAAAAATGTTTAGTATAAATATTATAGATAGGTTGTGCTAAACAATTTTCAGAGAAGGATAAATATCTCCCGGCTGTTGCGACACTCGCTGCGGTTTTGGCGGGAGACATGAATACAAACAAACAATTTTGTTCGTCTTACACAATTGTTGTACAGGCAGAATCTATTATAAACGGTGCTTTTTACACAATGAATTACGGATATTTTGCCCACGAGCACTGGGTCAATCACAGAAATAACACTTTAATCTTTGTAGAAATGCGCTTTGGACAGATGATCTCTCTGAAGTACCTGCACTGTTGAAGAGTGACTTTTCGAAACTTGTGTATAAGATATATTACGTCATATTCGTGAGATGCGGGTCAATAAAAACGATGACGTGCGTGGATAAAACTGAATGTAAATAATGGAGAAAAGTGATATTTTTTTCTTTTCAGGAACAAATATTTATGTTTTCATACATAAAAATAAACAAAAACGGCTCATGGGTATGTGAAAAGTTGCAAATGGTAGAATATAATGGTACAATTTGGTTTCATATGCACTGTGCGGAGCGATAAATCACTGCAAACGAAAAACGATGGTGAGTGATTAAGCGATGTCAATTGATTATTTTACCGATTTCATTAAAAATAAATGACAGGAAAATCAAAAAAATCACATCCCCTACATTCAGATTAAAACTCGCAATCGCGAACGTATTCGCTACCATAAAACCACACCTGAAGTAGACGATCGGAGCGAAATTAGTGATCGTAAAGGGGTTTTCAGACAGAAAAAAAAAACACATAATGGCTAAAAGAACTAAAAGTAAAAATGTTTTGACGAGATTAAAAAAAAAAAAACAAAACAAAAACAAAAATCATTTCGTTTTCACGCCCACGCCGGTGCCTTCAAATTTCCCACGTGTGGCCGCCGCCGGCAAACTCGTTTCCGATATAGAGGCCGCCGCCGCCGAAAGTTGATTTTTCACATGGAACCGCCGTTATTACAATATGATAATATTATTATGATAGTAAAAAAAAAAAAATAAATATTAATTGGTCATAAATCGTTTTCATTCAAGGCGGCTCCCACACGATCGCGGCGATACAAGCCCCGACCGCTCACTGCGATAAGTATTGTCCGACGCTCAGATTTTCGAACAATATCACACGGGCATCGCTGCAGGAGATTAAAATGTTTTATTGTACACAGACGTGCGTTCGCCGGGTTTTTATGCCGTCACTCAGAGAAGCAACACCGAGTATCTCGTTTTTCTCTTTTCTCAACACGGTTATAAATAAATACCGGCTACTATATGGTTGCCCATCGACCCATGATAAGACTAATATCGGTCCGGCCGCGGCCGCTATGCCGCGAACGAGGTCGTGTCTACCAGTGTCGTGATATTGTGTCTGGAAGCCCCACTTGCCCGAATATTGAGAAAATATCGTAATTTTACTACTGACAGTCTTTTGTGCCGGTGTTAAAGTAATGTACACAGTGTTGTTTAGACTCTAGGTGACTATCGCAGACTGTGGTGAAATAATAAAATACAATAACAAATGAAATGCTCTCAGTAGTTAGTTGAAATGTCAAAACAATAAGTGTATGTGTGTTAAAAATAATTAACTGTGCCATTAAAAATGTCACTCATAAACCACATGTTGTAATAAGTATAATAATAATAAACACAACCATATTAATAGTATCTTATAGCATTTGTTAAATTGATGTATTTACGTTGTATGAGACAAATTTAGTAGTTTATAAAATGCCTAGGTAATATTTGAAATAATATTGTGTGTAACACGTTCTATTCTGATTGTCTAAAACCAATCGGTAATATGTATAATCCCTAGGTATTATGCAAAATACCTAAATTATCGATATTGCCTGTAACATAGATACAAATTGCTGAAAATTTGAAATGTCGTTCAAAATAATTTTTGTGAATATAGTATGTATACATACAGGTTGAGGTCAATCTAACGTACGACATTCGTCATTATCTCGGAAAGTTTAAACTTTTTTCGAAATTTATTTTATAGAAAATTTAAGAAACATGCAACTTTACACCTTTTTTATGTTTCGTCAATCCGTTGACGAGATATTTTACTTTTAAGTTTGGGTCCGGGGCTCTCGGTAGTGGTGCATTATTGAAACGCCGCGGGTTGTGCCGCCATACAAATGATGATCCACTTATCCTCCCTGACTCAAAATTAAAAGTGTAACACTTCGTCAAGGGATAACGGAAGTCAGAAACGTCTGCACCAATATTTATTTTAACTATGACTCCATCTAAATATGGAATTTTCATTTAAATTTTCGTTTTTTTTTTCAATTTTTTCATTTAAAAATCAATAATAGGTAGTGGTTTTACCCAAAAAATTAGAGTGACAAAAAATAACATAAATGGGCAATTTTAGAGCTGCTTGTTTCTTAAATTTTCTTTAAAATAAATTCCTATTTAATTTAATGCTTTCCGAAATAATGAGTGTCTTACGATAAATTGATCAACCTGTATATTTCACCATGCAATTCATTGTTTTTTTTTTTTTTTAGAAATATTATCTACCAATGACACCGACTTCCGGCCCATGTCATTTGCATGGCCTTTGTATTTTTCATCAATGGAGCCCCTCAAAACAAAGTGTTCCATTTGGCGCATTTGATGTGCTAGGCCGACACTAAATAAGACCATTGTAAAATAGAAATTGAATTAAACCCCCAGAGTTAATTTGTTTCTTGACTACTAGTGCATTCGTTTGACGGTGTGACGGAATATTTATTTAAAAAATTAAAGATACTAGAGATTTATCTAGGACACACTAAAATATAAATCCGCGAGAATCACGACGCGTCAATTTTTTTGGTGCATTCAATTTGGTAGACACTTTATCATAAGTCAATGGGCAACCATATTATCTGTATAAACGTCGTTTTCAACTTTATAGAAATGTGCTCGGTGTATATCCAATTTCCTTAGATTTTTCAGGCGCCATAGATGAGGTGTACACACAGATAGGCGGTGTTGTGTTAAACGTTTTCAATGCCTTGCGTTACCAAATGTTCGGTTATTGAGTTTTCTGTTGACTTAGTAAAATAATTATACGTATTTTTCACAGAAATCCTCCTATAAGATATTACTATGATAAACCGGAAGCGCGCTCAGTAAAACGTTATTTGAGTTTTGATCTCCGTATAACATAACAGCTATGCGTAAATGTGTCGAACGTTAATATAGTGAACAATTCCACGCGTATTATTATTATTATTATTATTATGATAAAATATTATGTTTTCACATACAGGTACGCAACTGTACAAGCACTACAAGCAGCGTACAGTCATATGAAAAAGGAAAATACGTTTTGTCGAAATGTTCGACATAAATAGCCATAATATTATACAAATTAACGTTTTCTTAGTTTTTTTTTTTTTTTATATATATACGTCTTATATGTGTGGGTACAATAATATAATAATTACGAGTATTATGAGTAAAAAAAAAAAAATGGAAGTCGTGAGATCTTTTGACGTTTAAGTAATTGCTAATTATGTAACAAAATGAAATGAAAAAAAAAAAAAAAGATGTTTTCGCCTGCAGACACATTACAATAATATTTCGTCTCGTTGACCTTAATTATTATCATTGTATATAGACAGTGCATAATAATATTATTGTTTCGCGTTATTTACCATAAATATCGCTATCGAAATGCAGTGCGTCTATAATACCTACGCGTATAAAGTTATCAAATATATTGTAACCATCTCCTTACCAATAAGGACATTTCGGTTTGTGTTACCGATAGCGTTTGAGTTAATCGAAACGCCATAGGTAATATTGTTATTACTGTCAGATAGACGTGAATTGACCCCGTTCGCATTTCGTAACGATAATAATAATAACAGTTATGGCCAGTATTTACCAAGTTCGGCACAGTACGCGTCATGCTGTGCACCGGTAATTGATATACCGAAATTAGTACATTATGTTACCGATTATGGATTGCTGTAGTGTATTATCGAATGATTCGCCACGAAACGAGATATATTATTATTTACAAGGTAAACATTAGAAGGAAAAAAAAATGCACCCACACGAATATAAATTAAACGTTATTTAATACAATATACAGAAAGGTTTCCTTCCTGCACGGTGTTGTCGTCGTTGTGTATACCTAACAATAATACACAACACTACACTGCTATACGCAGTGGCGCATTTACGGGTATGGGAAGAAGGTTCAGGAAGTATAGACTCAACTTCCCACCAGACAACTATATAATTTAAAACTTAAAATTTTTCTTATACAAATATTTAAAAAAGTATGAATATTTGTTTAAAAAAAAAAATAAAAAACTAATCGAATATTGTAGTACATCGTATTAAACATATTAGATTTTAAAAAAGTATTTTAAATACGTATTGAAATTCTTCACTGCAAAAACTGGTATGCTGAACAGAAATTTCAACAAAAAATTGTTGAAGGAGACGGGGACACCTCCAATCAAAAGCTACAAAAGGAGTCATAGGATACAGTGGCTTGGGTATATAATGCGTGGAAATAACGATAATATAGACAAGGACGCAATGGTTTGGATATTGGCAGGGAAGAGACTACAAGGGCGCCCAAGGAAGAGATGGATGGATGTGATGGAAAACGATTAGGAAAGGTTAGAAAGAACTGTAATTCAAAATAGGGAGTTGTAGCGCGAAGTTGTGATGGCGGCGAAACGTACTTTACATTTAGAAATATGTTAGTACCCATGTATAAAATTAATCTATATATTTCAATAATGAAAAAGACATTTTTATCTGATTAAAACTCTCCCACCCAAGATAAAATATATGATGAATACACAGTGACCATTGTTAGAATAAGGCTGAATTAAATACAAAATTTTAACAATTTGAAACTTGCAGTTTATTAAATTTAAAGGATAAACAATTTCATATTATGGCATATTAAAAAATTGAATGTAGAATAATGTGAATTTAATTCAGACAAATATTAAAATTACCGAAATTTGAAAGTTTCAAATTACTCCGAACCATGTTATCCTTATCATTGTAAACAACGTACTATGTACAATTCTATAACGATACGTAACTATTAGGAGCGTGGCCAATAATGCTATTTCTTTTATCGACAATAGTATGGCCTTTAATACCTGGTTTCTTATTACCCGGGTTTTTACGAGAGTTGTTAAAATCAAAAATATCATCTGTATGAATATTCAAATCGTTTGCGTTCTTACCAATATTACTACTATTATTATCACTATGTCCAACATTATTACCTACCATGAATACCACTAGTACTATTAACGCGGTTCTTTTTAACCGTGCCTTTAATAGAGTTATTATTATTAACTTTATTAAAACTGTACAGTACGTTTCAGCTACTATTATCACCAATAATAGGTCTTGGGCCCATAACGCGATTCCTATTAGCCGAATATTTTCCATTGACGTTATTAAAACTGTTAAATACATTACCATTACCATTACCACGGATAACATTTTTACTCATATATTTCATATCTTCGTCTGAATCTTCGTCCGTATCTTCGTCAGTATCTTCTTCAGTATCTTCGTCAGTATCTTCTTCTGTGTCTTCGTCAGTATCTTCTTCTGTGTCTTCATATGTATCTTCATATATATCTTCATCCGTATCTTCGTCTGTATCTTCGTCTGTATCTTCGTCCGTATCTTCGTCCGTATCTTCGTCCGTATCTTCGTCCGAATCTTCGTTTGTATCGTATTTTTTTTTACATCTCTGTTTGTTCTTATTCCTATTCCTTGTGCCCTTATAACTTTTCGTATCTCGAAATTGTTTGCTTTTAGACTTATTTTTACCTCCATTAGCCATATTTTGGTTCAAATTGTCCATATTTTGGTCCACATCATTAGCTACATTTCGGTTCATATTTTTAGTCATGTCAGCCATACTTTTGTTTAAATTTTTAGCCATCAATCGCATAGATTCTAAATGCCTTATTTTAGCAGCTTCCGCTTTCTTTTGCTCATTTGGCATTAATTTTCTAATTTTTATGTATCCAAAAAGTACACCATCAATTTCTCCTAAATCGAACAATTAAAATTCAATTGTGTATATTAATTTAAAAAGCACTGATATTGGGGACTGGTATACCATTGCTGCAAGTGGGAAGTTGGGAAGAAAAGATATATAATTCGTATATAAAATCGTAAATTAGTATGTTATTTCTACATTTTTTTTTTTTTTTTTTTGGTTTTGCTTAATTTTTAAAAAAACTTCACGAAAAATCAGAAAACTTATGCAGAAAAAATCAGGTAAAAAGTATATAATTTTAAAAAAGATTGTAGACATACTGTTATAGATGAGAAATTGGATAAATAAGATAATTTTGTTTATATCTTTAATTTGTAATCATTTGGCAATATTCCAATTCGGCTAAATGGTGGACTGTGTGAATTTTATCCCCACTCCCCCCCCCCAAAAAAATGGTTGATTTTACAGAGAATTAGGTAACTTACTAAATGATTTTATTATTTTTTTGTAACTGTATTTAATTCATTTTCAATCATAGAGATAGAGATAGATGTCCAATTTCAAGTGTATATTTTCCCCAATTATAAAGTATTTCACAAGAAAAGTTATAGAATTACTTCCCTAATGCTTTTCAATATAGAAAGTTGAATACATGAAAAATATAAAAACAAAAAAAACAAATCGGTTTTGATTGTTACAAAAAGTCAAAGACGCGTAAGTGTAAAAAATATAAATATCAGGAGTAATGTAATGCGATTTAATATTGTGTTATGTATTCGAATAATTGATTCACGAGGGCAGTTAATATTTAACGTGATAATTTAAAAATATATTACCTTTGTTTTTTGCGCCTCTTTGAGGAGCCACCAGCCATTTACTATTCCAATATATTTGGCCGTCATCATCTTTGATTAAATCCCTAAAAAAAACCCGATTTATTTTTTGAAATTGTAATATGAAATCATGAGTTGATACTTACGTGGTAACAAATGTCGGAAAAACTGTGACTACGAAAATCGCTAGTTTACAAAACATTTTAAATTTCATATTTACCTTCTATTTTATACAAAATAAAGAATGTAAAAAGCAATGTTTTTTAACTTTTAAATGCCACATGAAATACGTGTATGCTATGTTACCAATAGGTATATATACATTTATAATTATATGCTTACAGTTAGGTATTACAAATTGTACTCAGGCAATAAAAAACAACTGCTATTTTTTTTTTTTTTTTGTATTCAAATGGATACTAATTAATGGTGGATATTATAACAACTGAATGTTATAACAAAACAAAAAAAACAATTTTGTTTTGTTTTCGGGTAATGTTTGTGTATTGTATATAAATTGAAACTTTTTGAACCACGTATACGAGTTTAGTGGTATTATGAATGTGAGTAGCTTTTATTATTTCGATGCTTAAAATTATCTTGTACCAGTAGACGTAGCTGCTCTTGCTTTTTATACTATTTTTAACATTGAAAATGATCTATTTGCATTCACAGAATACGTGAATGGAACGTTTCAACATAATATTAATCTCTAATATTTCTCGCTTTTCTGATTAAAATGTTATTGTATGGAATTTAAGTTTTCAAATTTATAAATATTCCTATTGAATATATGTATATTTTTTATAATATTTAATTCATCACGTTATCTTGAATTTATATTACTTGTCTGGCCGTACCAGAAAATAATTTTCATATTATATTTTATTTCACATTATTTTCAAATCGTACCAAATTAGTACCTATTTATTATTTTCTTGAAAAAATCTGCATATACACCATAGTATTCATTTTTATAACATATTTTGGGAGTGGGGTTACAGGGAAAGCTATTCCACTTCAATTCTTTTTATATTTTGTGAGCGTCCCTAAAAATTATTTTCATTAGATCGGGGCAACGGAACGTGTTATTTTATTAAAATAATAGTAAAATTTTAATTTATATATTTTGTTTGGATTTTTTTTTTAAACATTAGCAGTCTCGCGCGACCAATAGTAATAAATATTAACTGATCGAAGATAATAAAATAATATTAGCTGTATAATCGAGTAGCTTATTTTTAATTTGCGTTTTTATTTACAGTACAACAGGGAACTAGAACAAATTTTAGGAAATGAAAATCATGCAGAGTCCGATTACTGGGTCATATCGGAAGAATATATAAGGAAAGAATACTCGAACGGGTATCGCGTGCAAGAATAGAGGAAACCAGCACACAAGGACGTCCAAGAAGTAGATTCATAGACGAAGTTAAGAAAGATCTACAACATATGGAAATACGGAACTGGAACTGGAGGAATGTCGTCAAAGACCGCGATGAGTAACGGAGGATTGTGTTGGAAGCCAAGGGGTATCATGTAGAGCTTATGAGAAAAAGAAGAAGTACAACAGGTGGTCTAACTGTAGAAAAATATACTATGTTAAATGTTATCCCGTAAAATGTGTCTAAAATACAATAATTAATTCGTCTATACTGAATAAATGATTTAATATTCGGATATTAATTTCGCTCAGTTCAACTACACTGACACAGATCTTATCATTTTGGCCGAACGTTATTCTCATACTCAACTCTCCTCGCAGTCATCGCGATACCGCAGTATGAATTAAAATACGGATTGAATAAATTGGATTTTTTTTTTCAAATATACGGATAAGTACTTTTTTAAAGCGACATTATCGAGGTTATTGAAAGTGTTTATTGCCGATATATATTATAATTTTTCGCGCCGCTAACGAAGAGAACTTTCTAATCAAACCGAAATAACTTTCTTGTCAACCAGTGGATATAGTACCTATTACTATAATCACGAGGCTTAAAAAATACTAGTAGTCCGTACTAAAAATTGGGACGAATTTTCTTTAAATATTATTCTCGAGGTCGTATCGAGCTAATTTGACATTTATTAACATTAATTATTGTACATTATTATGTGCATTTGTTATAATCGTTGACCTTGGTTTATAATTAATATTCTGCAGTTTATTCTACCGTTAAATTTATATTACCTACTATCGTTATTTACGTTTTAATTAGATAATAAAACAGCGCCAATTTCAAGCGTGCTTTAAGTACGATACTTAAGTGAACAAAATATAATATATAAAAAACAAAACAAAATTTAAAAAAGCTGATAGACCACAGTATCATCTACCTAAAACAGTGGCCACACTGTTTTAGGTGGGTAGTCAGGAAGACGGGATACATAAAGTTCTGTAATTTATACCTGTAACCAACGATAGACCATTGCTAACGAAAAATGATTCGGAGCGAAGTTCGGTTATACGTGTTTTGATAAGGCGTAATATTTACGATTTTCGTAAAAATTTGATTATAAAGAAATTTTTGTTTTTAGCCACTAAATACGACTTAACATACACTTAGCATACTTAAAATGCACTTTCTGTCTAATTGTCAAGCATTTCTGTTTGATTAGGTTAAGTTAGGTTTTATTTGAACAGTTTGTCTAGTTGAAAACATCGTACATATAAATTTTAAATAAGAAAGTAGGTAACAATGCTGCGTGCCGTAAATATTTGCCGTTTTAACTATAATAATTTTGTTTCCAGTTTTCCCAATTATTTTGGAAATTTCTTAAAAAATCAAAAAATTATCTTCCTAATGCCCTAACTAGACAAAATTTTATTTCAGAAAAGGTGCTAAACTTAATACATCAGAGCCAGTTTTATTTTCGAAAAGTAATTTGCAGACAGAAAAATAACGCGCACACTACATCTTATTAAAACTAATAGATCTCTCGCTATGCTCCGAATCTAAAAGGTAGAATACATAAAGAGTTATTTAATTTGCATTTGATAAATCATTGCGAAATACGATTCCGAGCGATGTTCGTTTGAACGTGTTTTAAAGTACTATGGTTTTTATGATTACTTAAAATGTGAAAAAAAAATATTTAACTTTTGACGATTTTCGTGTATAATTTTCAAACAATTATGTTTAACTAAAATAATTGTTTCCACGTAAAATCAAATAAAATTTTAAAACAAATCCAGAATAGGTCAAATGCCTATAAATAGCCTAAAAATCACAAGAACTTGTTTGAAAAGTTTACAACTTATGAGAAAGTTTGATATAAATATATATTGAAAATTCCACGTTTCTAAGATTATTTTTAACCAAATTACAAAAAAAAAAAAAAATTAAAAAAAAATCGAAAATAATGAAACCAGTTTCTTAAACGACCTCTTCTAATGCATCAATTAAATACATTTACCATTCAAAGAATATGTTTCACTTAAATATTTTGAAGCAAGATTTTTGGTTGAAAAATAAAATCAAACAAATCAAAACTACCATAAGGACGAGAAAATATTTTTTTTATAAAAGTAGGTGTACAACGCAAGGTTAGTTTTAACATGATATTAGATGTGGGAGTTTTGAGTTTAAAACAAGTACAATATTTTACATTAATCCCCGTGCGATTAAAGTTGATTTCCATTAAGTTCGAAAAACCATTTATCCTAGAAATGTTACAGTTTTACTTATAGCTAAAAACGAATTCACGAATAAATTAAAAACTGAAATTCTAAATAAGTTGATCAAACTAATATGTTATTAGTATGGTTGGTAACAATTAACGCGTTAACTTATTGCCATTTAAATTAACTGAGTTAATATCATTGATAATCTTGTTATAGCCATGTATCATTTTTCATAATACGATAAAAAAAATACTAATGTTTGTCAAAGAATAAAATAAAACATCACGAACATTGATAGTATCATCGTATCGAGGGTCAATGAACATTTTTGTAATTAAAACGATGTTGAGGTAAAAAATATTTTATGAAATTAACGATAAATCATTTTTTACGGTTCATATTCATTTTAATAATAAGTAGGTATCTAAGTAATAAAAACGAATATTTCTTGTGATGTTAAATTTGTCTTTATTTATTTATGTATAAAAACGCAGCGCTCGAAAAAGACGAATACTCAATGTATACGTTTCAGAAGTAATTTTTCAACGAGTGATTTTATTCTCGGACACGTGTCTTGCAGGTCTTGTTCATGTTTTTCGTATAAATATGGTGTGCCACACACGACTTTCAACATTCTGGTTTTTTTGCCGTCACATCTTTAATAACAAATATTTATGTACTGCACTTACACGAGAGTATCGTATAATTAAAATATTTAATGGTATGCGATTTCGTCAGAAAATATAAACATTGACGAATTATTTTAGAAAAAATATAAACTAAAAAGTCTACATTTTGTTCATATTTTATCAAAACAAAAAAAACGTTTTAATTATATTATCCTTACATGTTATTAACAACTTAGTTAAATAACTTATTCGGTTTTTGTAATATCATTCAAGCGAAATGCATATGTTTGAACATAATATTGTAAGTTTATTAAAAAAAAAAAAAAAAAATCATTTATACAATATTTATTTAATTGTAAATAAGCATCTAGCGTATATGCCTTAGTACAATGATTTTGTTTATCAAATAATAAACTTTACATAATAGTTTATTTAAAGCCGTGCAAATATATCCGAAAAATAAGTATTAATTGTTTTTTTTTTTTTTTTCTGTAAGTCACTAATTTCATAAAATAAACGAGTACGTATGATTTTCGAAACAGGAAAAAAAAACCATTACAATAGAACGGTCAAAAGTATTGCGCACGGAGTTTCGATCATCTATATTATGCATATTTTATTGCGGATTATACCCTATCAAATAACAAAATTAATGAAAATATAAAAAAAAATTAATTAATTAACGCTGTATACACATTTCGTTTATCATAATTAATGTCACCGTTTATTTACATTTTTTTTTTTTTTGTGAAAGCGTTATTTGCGACATTAAAAAACTTTCCTAAATGCATAATATTCTATATTATCAACTACTAATTAGTCACTGCAAGTTGATGACACAAAAATGGATGTAGCCAGAACGGGACTTTTGTGACTTTTTTTTTATAAGTAGTACATAAGTGAGGGTATCCAATTCCCCGGTCAATACCACAAGCCCCCCCGCACTCCACCGTGACTAAGATATTATAGTGCATGCTGTATGCGTTAGGAAATAATACATTGTACAACAGAAAAGAGCTGCTTTTCAATTATGTTCTGTAACACTACAAAGTAATTGTGCTATGCGTGTTATCCCTGTAGAAAAATACTCCAAATACGTAATGACCCTTACCAAAGGATCTATACAGTCAAAACGTCTTTCCGACCCTTACTGCTCTTTTTGCGCTTCAACTTTTTTTTCAAATTGTTTTACCGAAAACCTGTTTTTGTATTCTTTAAAAACGCTGATTCGGACGGGCTTATGAGTTTCGGTCGGTATTGGTCAAGTAGCCAGGGTACACCCACCAGACGGCTACTGAAACCGGTCGCTGGAGCCGCGCTTTGATGCATAGTTACGCATCCAGGGCTCGCCCTGAAATCCTCCGGGGCTCTTGAACAGTTAATACTGTAAGTACCGCATATCTAATACAAGGTCCCCCGGTCGTACGGTGCACTTGTGCGCGGTTTAAAAATCGGGATCCACCGTTTGGTTGTCGAATTTAATGCGGATTTCGGCCGTTTTACCGGTATAGTGTGCCTACCTGAAACGGGTATACGTTAAATCGCGGTTCGCTATCGTCGAAAAAACGCAAGAACCTCCGTCGGCCAACTCCCCCCCCCACCGTCCCCTTCAGAACGACAACTGTTAACACTCTTTGGCGCAAAACGAATATCATATATTGTATCGTCGTCATCGGTATTGCGAAATAATATACGGGCGCACGTCCGCGGGGCACACGATGACGACGTTATAGTTGTTCGCGTCCGAGTAAAAAAAAAAAAAAAATAAAAAACCATTTAAAACGATAATAATAATTAACGGTTCTCGGAGAAATGCGTGTACGTGCTCCTATATACGACTATAGTGTACATGTATATATGTATGTACTACACATACAATATACCTAATAATAATTATTATTGTCGAACGGCTTTACTAAACTAACCGATTATTCGCGGATATTTCGACACGTCGTCGAACCGTCGGCGGTTCGACGCGAAAACCGTGTTTTAAAAAAAAAAAAACAAAAACTATTTTCGCGTCGGGAATATTTTGTCTCGGATATGTGGACCCGGCGGCGGAGACAATACCGGTCTTAATTATTGTTGTAGCGGGCATTCGGGGGGGGGGGGAAAGAAATTAAAATTAAACAACATTCAGTTGGCCATATTATAATGTTATTGTCGTTTACCCGCGAAAACACCACAGCAGTATTGTGTACCGCTGTTAATAATAGTAACGGACCATCAATATGCTGCGCATCACAATGGGTATACATTCGAAAGCTGTCGGATTTATAACGCGTTTGTTCGCGTACGAAAACGTCCTAAATTTGTGTTTTGTTTTTTTTTTTTCCTTCAGTAACGCTTGTTTTTATAATGACGTTTTAATGCGGCGCAATCGGTCGCGGCGATTTCCGAAGTATTCGCAAACTCGGTATCGTAAACGCGCTATAATACATGTTTTCAAAAGCGAAAAAACCGAAGGTTGGTTTCGGGTGAACTGACTTTTGTCGGGAAAAAAAACGCCGGTCTCAATGAGCATAACGATACGCAGAACGATAAAGAACTCGTTTATCGACACTTGTTTGCGGAGTGCTGAGTGGCATGGCTGTGTGAGACATGAACAATTTCCAAATGAAACAAATTAGAGAAAACAGTCATTCGGACGAATGGAGCTACCGTGTACAATGACTCGAATTGGGGAAACAAAAGTCATACGAACAACACCATAAAACTCTTATCTTTTCTTGTCTTTTTGTATTTTACATTTTTATATTTTCTTATCTTTCTTTATTGTTTTTTTACCGTGATTTTAAACATATACGTAGACAGATATTTCATGAAAATACAATGTTCATAATCGATATTGTGATTAAACGGGTCACGGGCGGGCCACAGTTGTAGATAAGAAGTTGCACTGGAAAGATGTAGATTAATTTATAAATCTGTACGTAAGGATCAGTCATTGCTAATGAAAAACCATTCTGAGCAGAGCTCGGTCAATAGTGTTTCTTTTTCAACAATAGGCATGTTCACGACAACTATTGTTTGACAAAGACAAAGGATTGATATACGAACAAATTAATAATAAATAAAAACGGTTGACAATGGCAATACTATTTTTAATCTTTTAATATTTTTTAACCGCTTATAGGAACCAGTTTTTCTTAATTATCTCAAATATTAATGATAATTTCAACAAGTTACCTTTCTAAAGTATAGTACCGGCTAGAGCCAAAATCCAAAACATCTCTTGTCATGTTCTGATTGAAGCAAGATTTCTAGCAGAAATTTTGTTTGGAAAGAAAATTTAAGAAAATGCATTTTTAAGGGCAACAACGTTTAACTGCAGTGACAGTGACGGGGATTCTAAAGGAAAAACGTTTTCATTACACATTTGTTTGGCACGGGTAACGTCATGTGATACAGTAATAACATATTATTTATAATAATACTTCGTCGTTTCATAAACGTAAATGAAAATTATCTTTTATTTTTATCTAGATGAATATATCGGTTATCTTTTCCAATAATTACAGTTTACCCTTCACTGATCAGGGTATACACATGCATGACGTACAATGCGAATTCATACCGATTACACAAATGTAATAAATCATTTTGTTATTATTATTTTTTTTTTGTTTTACAGTTACAAACCGGTTTCACGGGGCTGTCAACGAACTAAAGAAAATAATAATAAAAAATTAATCGGCAAAAATACTTGTGCGAAATAGTATTTTCGGACGATTAAAAATATACGAATATAAAACAGGAGACTATAATACGGACATATTTTTAACGTACGTTTCATACGGAAATTTTTTTTTGATACATTCTGGAAAATGACATCAATAACGAACGGCCGATTATGACAAAGCCGCGTATAAAGACACAATAATAATAAATTTCGTCAGATTTTCCGAGTTTCGCGTCTTCTAGTCGGCTCCTTTGGTTTTTGTTAACACTAATAATATTATCGCGAACGAATTAAAACTGTCTTGACGGACGTATTTCACACACCGTCAAGCCAAATTAATACCGACACTCCTCAGCGACCGACTGGCCGCCTGTTTCATCACTGGGGAGACCACTAGGACGTATAGCATCGCCCATCTCCCAATCCTTTACAGAAGGATTAGCAAAACTACACGAGAGCGGAACAGCCGCAATGAAATAGCTTTAAGAACTTGCTATACGTCTGTGATTTCTATGTGATTACCTGTGTTTTATTTTATTTTATTACTTGTTTAGTTAATTGTACTATTGTATATTATTTATTTATTTGTTTAATTTTATCAATTTTATCAATGTTCTACTCATCTCAACTAGTCGAATAGGTCACACGCATAAATAAAATAGAATCGCAACTGTGCTATCGATTTTCGATACATATTGAGATACCGATTAACGAATTCTTATCGATGTTATTCGATATTCGTTATTATCGAGTTACAGAATTGCCGTACAGGGCCGTTAACGAGTGTTACGCTGCACACGCGGTTTGATAGTACAGTATCGTTACCTAATCCGCAGCGCTGCGCTGTGTTTATTATTAATGATAATGGCGGCCACGCCGAAAAACGCAATTTTATATTATGGCATACTCGCGCACGGGACACTATTTCCATTGCGTATTGATACGGCGTTTTCATTTTGCACTCTGTAGATCATAATAATAAACGTTTTCGTCGCTACAATATTCACAGGCACCCACTAATGAATATGATATTTAGCAACGTTTCTTACCCGTAGACGTCCGGCGAGTGCGCAGCACGTTCGGTAAACACGTTCGGTGTATTTTCATACCTCTAAGAAGAGTCGACCGACAAAAAAAAAAAAAAAATTAAAAACTGTTTAATAGTGCCGAAACCGCCAGTATACACGGAGTTATTTAATTTGTGTGTGCACGCAACGATCGATCGTCGTTAACGAATTACGGCTCTGGTTCGACTGTACAACGTACATTAAACATGTTATGAATAGGCGAGGTTTTTACGATTTCGTCAACATTTTAACTTTGTATAAAAAATACGCGAAAACATCTTACTAAACTTTTTTTTTTTTTTTTTTATCGCTAATACACTTTATAATGAATCTCGAGATATATTTTCAAGCATTTCTGCTCGACCAATACAATATTTCATTCGTATAAAACCAAAAAGAAAAAAATATCAACTAACAGCTCAACAACAGTGAGGATCTTATTATACAATTAATGCGTACGTAAACGTCTAAGATAATTATTTTTTGAAAGTTTAAATTCTGTAAGATTATTTTTAGCCGAATTAAAACAAAACTGAAAATAACGAAACTGTTATTAAGGTAAATTTTCTCATTTTACTTAATTTTTTTATCGGTTTTTCCCAATTATTAAAAAAACTACTCCTCCCTCTTGAATTCGCCAATCGTGTCCATTTCACAAGAATAAAAATTTAGTACAATGACGGCCAACCCGAAATAGTTGAGACGAAAACGAAGAAGATATAGTAAGAAAAACACACACTAAGCTACTCTCGGAATTTAAAAAAGATTTCCTACCGGATGCGAATCTAAAATTAGCACGATTCTGATCAGTATGGCACCAAAAGTTTATACGGTAATCTTGGATAAAGCTCATCGATTCAAGAATAAAAGTCCTATATCTCTAATAGTTTTCCAGATATTGATATATCGAAATCGACATCTTCAAAAATTTGATATCGATAGGAATTAATCTAAAATGTGTTCGAAAATAGATACTTGTATTATTATTATTATTATTTGTGGTTTTTGATTTTTTGATAAAAAAGTTTTCTTATTGAAGTCAGAATAAGTCTATCTGGCTTAGTTTTAGAGTTACAAACGTTCAAACGCGTCGGGTTTCGATGCGCTCACTAGGACAATTTTAATCGAAAATAACTCTTGATTAGTTGTGCAAAACCACGTTGGAGAGAGCACAGGATAAAGTAAAGGATAAATAAATCGGCGAAATATAATGTTTCGAGTTTTCGAGATTTTGTCGATTTCGAGATATCGATATCACGAAAACAATTAGAGATATCGTGTTTTATCAAAGTACTTTTCTTCTCGAGCCGATGAGCTTTATCCAAAACCATCATCAACTTTTTGCACCACACCTATCGGAATCTTGCCCTAAAATCGTTCGTGTTTCACAGTATAAGAAATTCTACATTTACACAATCGACTGCGCCAATATAGGATAGTCACTACTGCGGGTTTCATCCGGACACTCCGGTTTTACACATATTAATCCGCGGGTTCAGTGAATTATTATTCTCCGGATCGTCGTAAAATCGGTACACTATTTTTATAATTGCAATACAGTGTGTCGATAAGCGACGATTTTTGCTGATGACCCCTTTCCTTTTGTTTTTTTGTTTTTTTGTTTTTTTTTTTTACTTATCGGCCTGCCTCCGGGTCTGCCACGACGAGTGTATAAGCCTAGGGACGAGAAAAATAACAACGAAAACGATCGTCGGTAAATTATAATATTATTATGTTGTATAGGTAGGTACGTGTAGGTACGGGTCGTACGAGTGATTTGCCAATCGCCGATGTATTATTGTTATTATCATTATTATCGTATTACGACGACGCCGGTCTTCGTGAGGCAGGTCCGCCGCGGACCTACGTAAATTATTGTGTTTTACGTGCGCGTATACCCAATAATATTATTTTTTTTTCATCTCCGGAGACGGGGTCAACGTGTCAGTGTGCGAATGGGTCTCGCCTCCTCGCTTTTGGTACGTAATTATTTAAATATTATCGTACATTTATATATTATACATATATGTAATATATGCATTTTCTCCGCGGCAGACGTTCTCCGACGACTGCGACGGCGACGTCCGTCCTTCGGTTTTTTTTGTCGTCATCGTTCGGCCGGCCGTAAATGGGGGGGAACAAAAAAAAAAACAATTTTTTTAAAAAACCATAACTGCTACGAGTATTTTAATACGAAAATAAACGAGTAACGCGTATAGTACCTATACGAGTTCGGGATTTCGTCGTGATTATCGGATGCCCGCGCCGCGGGTGGCGGATAGGTGTCGCAATTCGCGCGCGCGTCCGTCTGTCTGTCCGTCCGTCCGTATAACGTAATAATAATAATAATTATTTTATTCGTTATTGAATATAATTCGTTTGTTTTTTTTTTTTTTTTTTTTCATATAAATTTTATGTGTCGGATCGGTTCCGCGGCAATACGAGTGTATTATAATAGTATACCCATAACATTGACACAACGAAGAAAAAATGAACACGCGCAAACAGAAGAGGTCCGTCGCTAGAGTCAAATTTCCCTCGAGCCGACTAAGTTAAAATATTTCGTTTTTAGATTTACGGCAGAAAAAGTTTCGTTTTTTTTCGACTTTCAATTTTATTTTTCAACCAGAAAACTTGCTCCAAATTTAAAGAATAGCATCGTTTAGTTCCCACACGACGCTTATCAAAAAAAAAAAAAAAAAAACAAACCGTATCCACATAATATAACCTCGTAATTACGCCACTGTAATTGAACAATTTTCAAATTTAGGTTAAGGTTCCCGAAAATGTAAAAAACTGACAATAAATGACTACGCTACATACTGGTTTAGGTTTCACGGGTTTTAGACAGATTCCATGGTACGCGCAAATCTGAAATTGTATAACCAGGCAGATATAGGACGACATCTCGAATTCGCATTTTGAAATTTCAATTTCCGTGTAATGTGGGGGCGAAAATTCGAATATAAATGTTTATCTTTTGTTTTTGGTTTCTAGGTTCTCTGGGTTACGCAATCGAAGTACCACTTTGATCAGTCGAACCAGTTGAACCAGCTCTGCTACCATAACCTTTATTATTATTATTATTATTATTATTTTTTTTTTTCAATAAATTATCGTTGTTTCGATGGCTAAATTATCAGCGTTCCTACCCGCGGTGCGAACAGCGCGTGGGCGTGTGCCGTTCGGCTCGTTTTTTTTTTTTCCGCCAACGCCTACATCAATTTTTTCGTCCAAAAATGGCCCATAGTTGAAAAGGCCAAACGTAGCCGGAATTCCGAAAGTCCTACGGTACACACTGTTATAATTATATAACGTTGCCGGACCGCTGCGGGATAACCGTCACACGTTCGCCCGAAAGATTTAGATGTTTTTTGGGTTTTTTTTTTTTTTAACTAATATTATATACGCGACCCACGTTTTCGCCGGCCCGATAACAATAATAATATAGCGACGAATAATGTAGGTGATAAATACATATTATTATATATGTATACTTTTTTTTTTTTTCACTTTCGCCCGTCTCGGCTTTCGGCTACGCGCGCCGTCGCAACGTTTTTGCCCCGCGACCGGTTTTTCGCCGACAAGAACAACAAAAAAAAAAAAAAAAAAAAACAAACGCGAAAGCTCTCTCGGTCATTGTATATTGCGCAGAAGTGCCTATAATACAATATACTCGTATTCGTATATTGTTCGTCATCGGATCGTGTCTTTCGCGGGCCGCCGCCGCCGGTCCACGCGCGCGCACACCCATCGGACACGATACGAGACTGTTTCTCGACAATTATTATTATTGTTATTTACGACGGCGGTCGTATCAATATTTACACAATCATATGATAGCCGCCGATCCCGACGAATAGCGCGCGCGCCTGCGTACGTTCGTACAACGCGGTGTGCGTCCGATAAGACGTTTCACGCAAATAGGACGAGGACGATGAGATAATAATAATAATAATAATAATAATAATAGTAATAACGCGAAATATACGGATAACATAATGTCGACTGTAAATCGATTCGCGCGATGCTACTACCGGTCCGTTGTAATATTGTAATATACGGCTAACGATATTAAAAAAAAAAAAAAAAAAGAAGATTTTATAGTACATTATAATAGTTTTGTCGGAAGAACGGAGACTTTTATTCGTTTTGGAGTTGGACTACAGATACATCCGTTGCCGGACATGGGGCGTAGCGCAAATGAAAATTAACCGCAGCGAACAATGCTTGGAAGACCGAGACGATAGTCGGGATTCTTTCTGAAATTAAAATAAAAAAAAAAAAAAAACACTATCGGGGAAAGCAATAATAAATAATAATAAATTCATAAAAAATGAAATTTGAAA